GTACAAAAATACAAAATGTCTCCACCATGCTTGAAAGAAACTACAGTACAGCGCCAGGCTCTTATAGGATGGTTAGGCTTTCTTTAAATGCAAGTACATGTTCTCAAGACCGAATGGGTTCAGGGTTGGACGCTGGAGAATATCTGTTGGTTGTTTTTCTACAGATTTTGTTGACAATTAAGATCGAAATAGCCTCAAATTTGAATGAACCATTTGGCTCCGTTGTACTCATTAAACATGGATGGCAGGTCACCGAGGGATCATGAGGCGAACATGCTAAAACAACATGACAGATATGGAACTATTTTTATATCTACGCGTGTAATGCTTGTGAGATGATGTTGTTTCTCTTTAGGAGGTCTGACATGCTACTGTGTGGACATATTCCTCCTGAGAGAAACATTCAGTCTCAGCTGAGCGACGGGAGGACGAACGCACTCTCCTCTCTTTCCTCTGAATAATAATGAGAACAGGAAGTGGGTTGGTAACCTCGAGGTTCTTCCCCAGTGTGTGTGTGTTAGCTCTCTGATGTAACCTCGTAAACCTGACCCAGTGACTTTAAACTCACCAATAATTCATTTATCGCCATATTCAGAGAGTGCACTGCCAACGCAGCTTCATGTACATTAAGATGCTGCTTTATTAGACACAACATGCTCACAAACACATCGTAAACAAGCCTCTGTTTACATGCTGCGGATTCTTTAGAGGTGTGCACCAGCTATTCAGAGGCTAGTTTATGTCTTCTTTCAGACTAAAGGAAACGTAAAGAAACACATTAAGGGGTTTATTTTACTAACTGTGTCCGTTTGTGTCTGTAGATTTATCCTTGATTCACAACATTAGCATCACATATTGTCTCATTTGCATATTTAAACGTAACATTTTAGAAAACTTGTAATACAAAAAGTAATTGTGCTAATGTCAGTCATGAACTTGGAAGGTTTCATGGTGATATCTGTTAGTCATATTTTTTACCCTATTCACCTGCAGTGTGTACAACATGTATGAGTTTTACAATCCAGGCCGTTTTCTCTCTAAAATGTTCAACTTAAATATTACAACATTTTGTCTCAAATTATTAAAACTTCTTGTGAAATTATCCAATCGTTTTTTCCTTAAGAAAATAACAGGTTTTTTTCTACAAATAATCGTTGGTTTCTTTAATTTGTTGAACTTAAACTGTCAGTCTTTCTATGCACTTAATTACAGACATTAACACCATTTATTTTTACATTACAAGTTTTCTTTAAGTGTCATGTTTGAATATGCAAATGAGGCGTTATCGTATTAAATATGTGCCAAAATGCATCCATTTTCTTCATAGAAATGTGAGCATCGGATGAAGACAGGTTTATAATTATTGTGTCATCTTGTCGACATATTAGAGTCAAAGGTTTTAGCAGAAGGAATCTATTTGTATCACTCCATGTCCATGGTTTTGTCTAGAAAAATATAGGATGTGGGCGCTAACGTCACTTCCCGCCAAAATTACGGCCCCGCCCACTTTCCGGTGAAAACACTGCATTAGAGCCAAGCGGAAAATAATAGTTTCTTCATGTCTTAAAGGTCCCATGTCATGCTTTTCTGGTTATTACCCGTCTCCTTGTGTGTTATGAAGGTTTCTCTGCATGTAAACGGTCTGCAGAGTCACAAACCCTCAAAGTACACCCTGTAGCGAGTAAAACTCTAACACAGAAAAGACCTGTCTATGCTGCCCCAGAACGCCTCGTTGGACATTTCTCTTTTTCCATTGTTTACTTCTTGGGTATAGTGACGTATTTCGGGTATAGTGCCGTTACGTTTGGACCAATCCGCGGACTTCCTCACACACACACACTCGGCGGGTTGCGGGTGTGTGTGTGTTTCGGGCTGGGTTTCGCTGTGTCTCGCTGTCTCGCAGACGGCCACTGGGCTCACAGGGAGGGGGGGGGGGGGGCAGGAGCTCCAACAAGCCGTTTAGGACAGAGAGTGAATACACATACTATACAGAGATGCTGTATGAGAAACCAATGTGAGTTTGGAACATTGCACAATATACATTTATTTTAGTATACCTCAACAATGGAATTATGATCAGTAGAAATGGCCAGTGGCGTTTTTATATGTACAAAAGTGGTGGGGCACAAAAAACTTAGATGTCTATATATAAGCTTCTGCAGTGACGTGCAGTGAGGTTCATGGCTGGTGAGGCACTGGCACTGACTCTTCAGGTTTACAAATATTATATTTTGACCTAAACCAAAATATAATATTATTTTCAAAAGCTTTTTTTGTCTGATGCTTCGATTAATTTTAAACAGACAGTTCAACAAAAGGATACCCAAAAAATGTAATTTTATCATTTAAATATTGAATTGTTCTCTCTTAGTAAGATCCCATTGTCAATAAAATGGCGGTCTTACCTTGACTTGAAGATGAAGTCCATTTGCCTATCCTTCTGGACAAACATTTCTATAACTTTTTTGTAAAAGTCCTCCTTATGTTCTTGTAGTTTCAAAAGTCTATCATAAATCTAATCCATAGATTTATGATAAAAAAATTATAAAAGTAGAGTAGACATGTGGATGTTATCCGGCTAATCAAAACGTGCATTTATCTAACAGGTACGTTTCCCACAGATCTTATTTCGAGCTATTTTCTAAAATCCTCTGGAGAAATCTCATTGCTTTTTTGTGCTTACTTCCTGGTTTTAGGACGCGCCACTGCAGCTCTCTCGTCTCCTCTTCAAGCACCACACTTTTCGCGGCACACGTACTTACAGCCAATCAGCTCTGAATGATTTGAGATGACGTATGGTGGGGATGGTAGCTCCGTGCCCCTCTGGTCATTATTTTTTTGCCACACACATTAAATTACAAAATACTCTGAGCATGCGCAGTGAAGTTTTTACAGTCACGTTCACTTCACAGCGAGAGGAAGGGGCATAATCAGGTTTTGTCCCACATGGCTCTAAACAGCTCAATAGGCACACACTGTGACTGTAGACACACTAATTAGAAGAACACAGACTAAAACAGCAATGTACAGACGAATCAGATGATTAAACATGATCTTAAAATATATTTTATATATTTTTTTATTTATTTTTTTGCATTTTTGTAATCATTATTTGTAATACTTTCTGCTGACACTAGGTGGGGCTGTGCCCCACCTGCCCCTAATGACCAGTCGCCACTGGAAATGGCCATGACATGGGACCTTTAAAGTGGCTGAGTCATATATTGCACCTCAAACAACAAATACATCTAGACTTACGGTTCCTTTACTTCCTCTAAAGAAAAAAGGACAGTAAAAGAAACTCAGAAATCTCTGCATGACTGCGTTATGGACGTATAAAGTAATATCACGTCTACTCTAGCTTGGAAAAAAACGATATGAGCTGGTTAATGTCTGCACCTTAAATGTATATAACATATCTGTTCTGCTCACTTATCTATATGTATGTACATTCACCGGATCACTCACGTTATTTTTGTTATTTCTATTAATACTGTTAATACATGTTTATTCTTATATATTACGTGTACTATCTGTGTTTCCTTCTCTTTCTGTTGCTGTTATGACACGTGGATTTCCCTACGGGGATGAATAATGATCCATCTTATCTTATCTTATCTTATCTTAAATCCATGGTGAGTTAATATTAAACCGACTGGACATCGATCCCCTATTTATTCAGAGCTCCGTAAAAACAAAGCTGTCTCTGCCGTCTGTCAAAGTTCTGGAGTAATTACACCGTTTTTGACAAACAGAAATATCGTTTTCTTGCATCACTTTGACATTTTACGGGGGAAAATCTGCATTTTGTTACGAGGGCGCAGCATCCCTGTTACCAAGTGTGGACAAAACCCTGATATATCAATAAAATACTGCCATAAAAAGTCATTTTCATGCTTTTAGTAATAGAGTGTGTATAACTGATCAAATCCATACATTCTGTACACTATAGGGAAATAGGGTCAAACATTATAACTAATAGTCTCTTACGGAGAGCCACCACAGCATGTGAGGACACTTCAGCGAGGAGATGTTTAAAGTTTTAACACTTCTCCCCCGGAAAACAAAGAGCGCTGGACACACGGAGACGAGGAGAAACCGGAGTTACCGCCTCTGAATGTTTTATAGCCGCCGAGCCGGGAGGATAAGTGAGAGTGACACTCGCTCTTGAGAGGGGAAAATGCAGATGTTCCTCGTCCTGTGTTTATCTCACAATGCTGTAGATTCACTGATGCATGCACCCACAAGAGAAAGAGAGAAATACATATAGAGAAATCCCCGTCTGTCTATATGTTCTCCTACAGCTTTCTTTACATATCTACAGATCTATAGTGTGCTCTTATCCTGAAATGAATCGAGTCGACACACTGAAACTGCACATGGTGTTAGTGAGGATTAAGGGATTTCTCATTTGTTTGTTGTTCCTTTATGTTAATTCCTTTTCTTTCTACTTTTTAATCTTTTCAAAGTCAGAACAGAGACCTTGATTAACTTCTTTGCAGACTTTTATCCGTGTAAAAAACAGAAAGGAAGCTCTTTTGGGTGATAATTACTGGGTTTTTTGACATTCCTAAACACTCAATCCAACAACATTTCAAGACTTTCCAGGCAATTCAAGCACCAAAAACAGCATACCTTGAGATATATATCAAGGATAATTACTTCTTTAGGATGCAGATGGCTAAACGTAGTATATTTTCTAACTTTAAGTACAAAAAATACTTTTCTCATAAGCACGAGACCAACATGCAGAAAGCACAATATTCAATTCACTAACGTTAAGAAAATAAATATATCAAAATAACTTATCTTTCCTTTCCTGCACAGAATACTGTATATAAACTCAAGCTCTTTTTATATGACCCAGGTGTATTTCTGACTATTTTCAAAAGCTTTTAAGGCCCTATTTTGACCATATTTACAAGGCTATAAGTATCTCAAGGATCTGTTGGAACCCTATAAAAAGTACGCTGAAGAAACACAATAAACAAATAACTTACCTCCGCAGCAGCAGCTTGGGATGGTTCTTGCTCTCCAGGTTGCGGTCAATCAGGTCTGACAGCAGGTGCTTCAGGACGTCGGTGGCGTACTCCAGGCGGCTCTGCAGCGCCGTCATGATGAGCGAGGCCACGTTCCCCGCGGTCCCTCATGGAGAAGGAGCGCTGCATCTCCAGCGTCCGGATGAAGGTGAGCAGGAACACCTTGTTGTTGATGAGCTGCCCGAACAGCTTCAGAGCTTTCTCCGTGCCCTGCTGCCCGTTACCAGACACCTGCAGGAGAACCAGGGTTAGTCATTTAGATAAACAAGGTTTCACTTCCTGTCGTGGTGTTTTCCCGCCTTTTGTGATTGTCTGCCCCACACCTGATTTCAAGCTATGTTTAATAAAGTGGTGCAGTGATATTGTAGATCTGTAATGGACCCTGAAGGCAGCATCTCCTTGACTCCCTGAAAAAGCCACTGTGTTTTTGGATGATGTCAGAAAATAATATCTGTGTCAAACAAACGTTTATGATACTTACACAATTTGTTCAGCAGGATAATCTCCACATATAAACACCTCTTAATGATTTCTGAAGTAAAAAGGACCTACATCAAGGAACTACAGCACGGTCACATGACTTCACGTCACCACTGCTAAGCTAAAGGCGGCTAATGTTGGGCTATAAAGGAACTACAGCACGGTCACATGACTTCACGTCACCACCGCTAAGCTAAAGGTGGCTAATGTTAGGCTATAAAGGAACTACAGCATGGTCACATGACTTCACGTCACCACGCTAAGCTAAAGGTGGCTAATGTTGGGCTATAAAGGAACTACAGCACGGTCACATGACTTCACGTCACCACGGCTAAGCTAAAGGTGGCTAATGTTGGGCTATAAAGGAACTACAGCACGGTCACATGACTTCACGTCACCACCGCTAAGCTAAAGGTGGCTAATGTTGGGCTATAAAGGAACTACAGCACGGTCACATGACTTCACGTCACCACGGCTAAGCTAAAGGTGGCTAATGTTGGCCTATAAAGGAACTACAGCACGGTCACATGACTTCACGTCACCACGGCTAAGCTAAAGGCGGCTAATGTTGGGCTATAAAGGAACTACAGCACGGTCACATGACTTCACGTCACCACGGCTAAGCTAAAGGCGGCTAATATGGGCTCAGAACAGTCTCATAATACACGCATGCACACAGAAGGATTCACACTTGTATTTCATGATCCACAAAAGGATTCACACTTGTATTTCCGGATCCACACTTGTGTTTTTCAATGCACACACAAATGTGTTCCGTTTCATATACATGTAAATAAAATCCAAATACAGAAAAAAGTTTTACATATGTATTTTTGATCCTCACATATTTGTTTTCCGTTTAAATCCCCTGAACCTGCAAACACAAACCGCTTTCTGTGCATGGATTGCTCTGCATTCGTGTGTGGGTTTTTTGAGACTCCCCTGACGGTCACCCGATTCGTACTTGTAATTTTTTCTATCTATAGCCAATCAGATGTCTCCTCAATTCTAAGCCAATCACATGAGCGCGCCCCCACGAGGGTAGATTTCTTGCGTTCATGTCACTTCATATACGCATTTTGCGTAGTCCGGAGCAGGGTTTCCGCGGACAGAATTTAATTTTACCGGACAAATTTGAAACTTACCGGTCATGTTTCAATAATAATAATAATAAGAATTGTGTAGCAGCGTTTCCGTTAGGTAATTACCGGACTATGACCGGATAATAACACGGGAGTAAGGATCATCTCTTTTCCTCTCTCCCTCCCTCTCTCCTGACAGCCCGTCAGTTTCTCATGCAGCTCGCTAAAACTTCACTCGCGTTTATGTCCATATCGATCAGATCCAGCTCTCCTGATCGGCCTTTATAGAGAGCACCGATCAAACTATTAAGAGTGAATATCGGCCGATAATGACCGGCGGGGCTCCCCCCGTTGACAGTTCACTGTCTAGCACTGGCTTCGTAGTGCACTGATCGATTAGGCTAAGCTAACCTGTAGCTGCTCCCTCCACACTCACAACAACTTCATACAGACATAAATAAAGCAGCTGATCGCCATACAGGAAACACACATTTAAAACAGTTTTGCCTGCCGTTTTTTGTGTACACAAGCATTCATTAATGGTTCGGAAAGTGGCACTGTACCTTAATAATATAAAGGCTTGTATTTGCGTGCATTTCCTGATCGGAAAGTGGTAATGTACTGAGAGTGGAGGTGTCCTGAGATTAGCGCCTGCAGGCAGGCTCCATGGACCTGTCAGCTCCGGACAGCGCAAAATGCGTACATGAAGCGCTACGTCATGAACGCAAGAAATCTACCCTTGTGGGGGCGCGCTCATGTGATTGGCTTAGAATTGAGGAGACATCTGATTGGCTATAGATAGAAAAAATTACAAGTACGAATCGGGTCACCGTCAGGGGAGTCTCAAAAAACCCACACACGAATGCAGAGCGATCCATGCACAGAAAGCGGTTTGTGTTTGCAGGTGCAGCGGTTTTAAACGGAAAACAAATATGTGAGGATCAAAAATACATATGTAAAACTTTTTTCTGTATTTGGATTTTATTTACATGTATATGAAACGGAACACATTTGTGTGTGCATTGAAAAACACAAGTGTGGATCCGGAAATACAAGTGTGAATCCTTTTGCGGATCATGAAATACAAGTGTGAATCCTTCTGTGTGCATGTGTGTATTATGAGACTGTTCTGAGCCCATAGGCTAATGTTGGGCGTGATGACGTTTAGTCGTCTCATTTAGACACTTGTTAGCTTCCCCTCTGTAGCTGTGTTTTGTCGGTGTGATTAGACCTGTCTATATACAGTATATGCCTGTAACCAAACATAGAGAGGAATGTGATCTTTCAAAACAGAGACACAAAATCCAGGATCACGACATTTGATTTCTACCGAGCTGAATGTGTTTTTGAAAATGTTTGTTGCTCCTCAACTTTTCTTCTTGACCTTGTCTCACCCAAAATAAAGATTTTTCCAAAGCCTGGCTCATGTTTCTCTGCCGGCAGACACACGGAGAGTAACTGAGAGGATCCTAATCAATTATTGACCCGCGCTGCTAAAAAGCACTGAGTTAGCTGCCATTGCACTTTCAAGTCAGATGTCAAGTAACTTCCCAGAGTAAGAGGATCCCAGAGAGGCACGACTCTCTTTCTCTGTGTTTCTTTGTCACTGTTTTAAAAAAGTTTGACATCTAATCTGAGGACTTTTGAAAAATAGAAAAAGCCTGAATGGAATATTTCCTCATTGCTGTGTGTATTTACTAAAGGGCACATTTGACATTCTTGTACTTTACTTGAGTTTACCCATTTAATACTGCTTTATATAATATTATTTCTACACCATGATAATTGGATACACGTTCTTCAAATATATGAAGAAAAAATATAATGTAATCAATTATTTTTGGGCATTTTGACTCCAGGACCAATTTCCTTACGGGGACAATATTGTATGGTATCGTATTGTAGCGTTTCACATTGTAGCATATCGTAGCATTTCGTAGCATTTCGTAGCATATCGTTTTGTTTCGTATTGTAGCATAGGGTAGCATAACGTAGCATATTGTAGCATATCGTTGCATATCGTTGCATATCGTTGCATATCGTATTGTTACCTTGGTTGGTGATTGGCTAATGGTTACAAAAGCCAAAAAATCGTTATGACATCATAAAGTGGCCAAAGTCTGATCAGCTCATTTTCAGACAGGTTTTTATATAAATGGATCAGGACAAAAAGAGAGAGAATCTTTGTTCCTAAAACTTTCAGAGTCTCTTTACACAGAGGGGACACATGTTGATGAAGAAGAGACATGAAGAAGAGGGGACACATGTTGATGTAGAAGAGACATGAAGAAGAGGGGACACATGTTGATGTAGAAGAGACATGAAGAAGAGGGGACACATGTTGATGTAGAAGAGACATGAAGAAGAGGGGACACATGTTGATGTAGAAGAGACATGAAGAAGAGGGGACACATGTTGATGTAGAAGAGACATGGAGAAGAGGGGACACATGTTGTTGTAGAAGAGACATGAAGAAGAGGGGACACATGTTGATGTAGAAGAGACATGAAGAAGAGGGGACACATGTTGATGTAGAAGAGACATGAAGAAGAGGGGACACATGTTGATGTAGAAGAGACATGGAGAAGAGGGGACACATGTTGATGTAGAAAAGACATGAACAAGTGGATTTTGCATAATAGGTGACCTTTAAGATACTATTTGTCCACTAATCTAGTACTAAGAAGGGACACTTTGAGCTCCAGTGTGCAGGACAGTCTGAACTGAACCACCGCGTCATGATCCACAGATAGAAAGATGGAGATGTATCGTGACCAATCTCTCCTCCCCTGACAGTTTCCTCCACTCTGTCTGTTCCTCACAAAATAAACTATTTTCCCAGCATGCCTCTGGCCCCCGGACGAGTGTTAACAGACACTGGAGGAGCCATCCGTCCTGCAGGAGGATCAGGAATTACTCACTTCATTACCTCTCATCCTGCAGCCACTGGTGGATGAAATAGCTGTGAGCTGGGACCCTGTTTCCCATGCATGTCAGGTGTATATACGTGTGTGTGTGTGTGTGTGTGTGTGTGTGTGTGTGTGTGTGTGTGTGTGTGTGTGTGTGTGTGTGTGTGTGTGTGTGTGTGTGTGTGTGTGTGTGTGTGTGTGTGTGTGTGTGTGTGTGTGTGTGTGTGTGTGTGTGTGTGTGTGTGTGTGTGCAGTGGTTTGAAGGGATAACAGCCACACTGCTATCCTTTTGCCCCTGCAGGAACTTGCTACTGCACACCGTCTCTTGTTTTTAGCCTCATTCTGACTTTCTCCTGTATTTTCTTCACTCATTGGCCCTCAGACGTCTTATTTCCAGTCCCTGGTTGCAGTCAAATATTGTATTTTGTCTGAGGAAATCCCTAACAAAGTAAAAAAATAAGTTCCCCTCCACACCTGAGCTCTGCTAAGTGCCCCGATAAACATTCCTGTTGTAATCTTGCAATATACTTATTCATATAAATAGTTATCACCGAAATAAACCGTATTTAATTTTGTCTTAATGTACATTATTTAATGTCATATTCTGTTCTTGTACATATCATATTCTATTTACATGTATATAGACTTCTTGCACTATACTACGCTGTAGCTTATGTGCATATGACAATAAAACCATTGAATCTTGAATCTCCTTACCTCCAGCTCTCTGAGCACAGGGTGGTCCTCGATGCCAGGGAACAGGACTCTCATGGCGTACGTCCTGTAGTCCAGGTGGGGGATCCCGGCCCGGTCCAGGTCGCTCGTCAGCTCGTTGATGTCCGTCTGCAGCTCGGCGAAGGCTGGGGGGAGGAGGGGGGACATAGCGTTAAAAATGAGGGATATCAGATCTGGTTCATTTTAGTTTCCATCGGCTGACACTCCTTAAAGGTCCCCTATCATACTGTTTTTCATCAATATGGAAGATGTGAGTACTGAGATCTGACTAAACTAAACTCTGTTCTGTAACACCGACCTTCTTTGCACTCCAGGGCGACTCGTGACTCCAGGTTGTCCATCTGCATCTGCAGGCGCTTCAGCGTCAGGTCGTTTTCCCGGGACTTCCTCTTGTAGGCGATGAGGACGAGGATGACGATGATGAGGAGGAGGCCTCCGCCGGCCGCGATGCTGACGATGGCCGGGAGCGTGAGCAGGCTGTCGGACATGATGTGGACCGAGCCGGGGGACACGTGGAGACCCCCCACCTGGACCTGAGGAGAGAGAAAAGTACAGTAAATTATTCTTTCATTATTTCACTTCCAGAAGATGGTGACATCACTATGGAACACTCATTCTTCTATTGGCTAGCGCTCCAACACATTGTACGTGATAGGCTAAGGGGGCGAGACATCTCTAAGCGGTGGACCAATCAGAACAGAGCAGGCCAGCTAACCAATCAGAGCAGACTGGGCTCTGGTTTCAGACAGAGGGTGAAAAGAGGTGCTGCAGCACACTAAAGTATGGAGACATGTCACAGTAGAGACACTACATACTGATATACACCTGAACATCAGCAGGAGAGGACTCTTTAAAGTAGAGACACTACATACTGATATACACCTGAACATCAGCAGGAGAGGACTCTTTAAAGTAGAGACACTACATACTGATGTACACCTGAACATCAGCAGGAGAGGACTCTTTAAAGTAGAGACACTACATACTGGTATACACCTGAACATCAGCAGGAGAGGACTCTTTAAAGTAGAGACACTACATACTGATATACACCTGAACATCAGCAGGAGAGGACTCTTTAAAGTAGAGACACTACATACTGATATACACCTGAACATCAGCAGGAGAGGACTCTTTAAAGTAGAGACACTACATACTGGTATACACCTGAACATCAGCAGGAGAGGACTCTTTAAAGTAGAGACACTACATACTGATATACACCTGAACATCAGCAGGAGAGGACTCTTTAAAGTAGAGACACTACATACTGATATACACCTGAACATCAGCAGGAGAGGACTCTTTAAAGTAGAGACACTACATACTGATATACACCTGAACATCAGCAGGAGAGGACTCTTTAAAGTAGAGACACTACATATTGATATACACCTGAACATCAGCAGGAGAGGACTCTTTAAAGTAGAGACACTACATACTGATATACACCTGAACATCAGCAGGAGAGGACTCTTTAAAGTAGAGACACTACATACTGATATACACCTGAACATCAGCAGGAGAGGACTCTTTAAAGTAGAGACACTACATACTGATATACACCTGCACATCAGCAGGAGAGGACTCTTTAAAGTAGAGACACTACATACTGATATACACCTGAACATCAGCAGGAGAGGACTCTTTAAAGTATAGACACTACATACTGATATACACCTGAACATCAGCAGGAGAGGACTCTTTAAAGTAAAGACACTACATACTGATATACACCTGAACATCAGCAGGAGAGGACTCTTTAAAGTAAAGACACTACATACTGATATACACCTGAACATCAGCAGGAGAGGACTCTTTAAAGTAAAGACACTACATACTGATATACACCTGAAAATTAGCAGAATAAGACCCTTTTGAGGTATATTTCGCAGTACGTGAGTATATGTGTGAGACAGAAATAGAGAGTAAAGGAGGAAGTATGGTAAGGAGGGGGACACTGACCATGATTTTGTACTGTCCGGTGAGATTTGGGGGCTCACACAGCAGCTGGCTCTCGGACACGGTGACGGAGCAGGGGGTCTCTCCGATCAGCACCGTGTAGTTCAGCTTCACCCCTCCAGAGGCCGGGGGCACCAGGTTTCTGCCCTGAGGGGGGGGGGGGGGGGAAGATTAAGAGGAAAACTCAACCCATGGCTCATTGGAGATGAAAACCATTTTTTAAAACCCACAAAGCAAACACACACACACACACACACACACACACACACACACACACACACACACACACACACACACACACACACACACACACACACACACACACACACACACACACACACACACACACACACACACACACACACACACACACACACACACACACACACACACACACACACACACACGGTGGATTACGTCCCAGCTGCGGCCTAATGTGGCTCCATACTGAGATCAAACAAGGTGAGATATATAAATATACATTTCACAGAGAAATAAGGGGGGACAGCTGGCAATCAGGACGGAAAAAATTAATTAAATTCCTCAGAGAATTCTGCCAGAAACAACCACTATAATGAGAAATAAAATGATATATATACCGAGCTGATTTCTATAGTAAACTGTGCTAGGTATTTAAGAGTTACGCTTATTATCTATTAATCTAATTTGTTTTCTGTCACATTTCACAGTATTTTAGTGACCCTGAAGTCCAGATTTAGTTTTTTAAGTCAAGCTTGTCCCCTATATCCTTCATAAGTCTTACAAGGCAATTATTAGTTTGAGCATGTATTACAAATGCTAAGTCGTGGAAGGTGGGATTTAAGAAATGGTTTTGAAATTCGTTGGAAGTCTTTTAGTCGCCTTTACTCCACATTCAGTTTTAAAAAGTGGTTGTTTTTGCTTTAAAAATAGTTTTCTCTTAAGTCTCACATCTGACACAGCTCATAGTGATCGCCCTCTCTTGCTTCCTAAACATCCATTGGATAAAAGCCAAGTTATACAATTCCGACTGTCAATCAAATGCAGGATATCGTGTCAATTTGTGGTATAAATATAAAAAATGCTGTGCACAAAGCTGGACACATGATCATCGATATCCAGATAAAGTAACAACGACCAAACAAGAAGACAAATCTGTGTCTTGCAACGTTACGAGTGTGTTTTAACACTAGTTGAATATAACATTTTTACATGTGTTTTTATATGTTGATACAGCACTTTGGTCACCTGAGGTTGTTTTTAAATGTGCTATATAGATAAATAAAGATTGAGATTGAGATTGTGGGTTTAATCCGTGTTTCAAGGTTCAAGGTCAGTTTATATGTACAGCACATTTTAAGACACAGAGGCAATTCAAAGTGCTTCACATAGGCATTCAACACAAACAATTCATGTTCATTGTGGCAGCTATTTTTGATTTAGTCTTTTGACGAAAATGGTTATTAGTTTGTCACATTTTAGTCCTTTTTATCCTTCATAGTTTTAGTCGACGAAAACTCAAAACGTTTTAGTCAAAATGTTTTCTCTCTTCAAACCAATTCAGTTTGGCAAATACAGGAATCTGAAATTGGAATCAAGGTGACAGCATCAAGTGTTGAAATTCCTAAAGCAACATTTCACTTTCTTAACACTTTACTTGTGTAATATCTAGAGATGGGTATCGTTAAGGTTTTTAACGGTACTACTACTCTTAAAAATCTGTGTGCCCTGTTAGGCCCCGGCCCCCGCACACAGAGAGAGAGAGAGGCCCCGCCCCCCGCACACAGAGAGACACAGGGAGATCGCTCTTCTGGAGTGAAGAGAGCGGAAATAATGGTATTGCAAGTTACAAAAGTAAGATGCATTTTGACAGACAAGACGGACAATTGGGGGAAAAGACCCTGCATTTTGAATGTCCGATAGTCCACCATTAACACCTTAGTCCCGTCTCGTCTCGTCAACGAAAACTAAATAAACATTTCGTCATAGTTTTTATGATCAAGAATCTATTTTTTGCAGGTCTCCCTTGAAAAAGAGATATATGATCTCAATGGGACCAATCTGGTTAAATAAAGGTTTGAAATGAAATGAAATGATTTTTAGCTCGTCATCGTCTCGTCTTAGTCATGTAAAAAAGGTTGTTGACAAACATTTTTCGTCATCGTTTTCGTTGACGAAATGAACACTGGCACGGTTAACGGATCTCAGGATAGGCTGCGTTTGTGCTTCCTGTACCTTGAGAATAATGGGAGATCCAGGTTTCTGCTCCAGGACCCCCGAGGTGCTGAGGGGCTCGAACACAGGGTTGGGGTAGTACAGCAGGTTGGTGTTGTTGTAGACCAGCAGCGCCTGCACGTTGTTGAAGATGAAACCAAACTCATCCGCGTGCTTCACTGAGTCCAAGGTGGGATTATACTCCGCCATCAGGGAGGGGGCGAAGCAGCTCATACAGGTGGAGTTCAACACCTTACACACCTGAGAGGGGGAAGGGGGGATAGAGAGTTATTAAACTGTGATCTACACATCATGGTATAATCAAAGACAGGAAGTAAACACTAACGGGAACAGCTGAAGAAGACAGACAGGAAGTAAACACTAATGGGAACAGCAGAAGAAGACAGAAAGGAAGTAAACACTTAGCAGAAGAAGACAGACAGGAAGTAAACACTAACGGCCCGTCCACACAGCGGCGTGCGTTGAAGCTTGCTCCATTTTTTGGAATATGAGGAAATGACCTGCGGTGTGTCTCTCCCAGCATACACGCGGTTTGATTGGCTGACGCTTCCACCGAAGCTTCAGAAGCTTCAAAAGTTGAACATTGCTCAACTTTTGCAGCCTGAAACGCCAGCAAAGCTCCGCTCTGCTTCCCACAATGCAGTTCGGAAGATTTTTTTAACGCTGCTGTGTGGACGTATCGTAACGGGAACAGCAGAAGAAGACAGACAGGAAGTAAATACTAAAGGGAACAGCAGAAGATGACAGACAGCAAGTAAACATTAAAGGGAACAGCAGAAGAAGACAGACAGGAAGTAAACACTAAAGGGGACAGCAGGAGAAGACAGACAGGAAGTAAACACTAAAGGGAACAGCAGGAGAAGACAGACAGGAAATAAACACTAAAGGGAACAGCAGAAGAAGACAGACAGGAAGTAAACACTAAAGGGAACAGCAGAAGAAGACAGACAGGAAGTAAACACTAAAGGGGACAGCAGGAGAAGACAGACAGGAAGTAAACACTAAAGGGGACAGCAGGAGAAGACAGACAGGAAGTAAACATTAAAGGGAACAGCAGAAGAAGACAGACAGGAAGTAAACACTAAAGTTGTTTTCCTTTATCTCGCTGCAAAATAAAACGCTGAAGTGTTATAAAGTTTGTTTGAACCTAAAGTGAGACGTTCACTGAAACACACCGGTATCAACACGACCCCGGCAGGGAGCGTGTAATTGGCAGATAAAATCCTCAGAGCAAAGGATTTATCACCTGTCGTTAAATCCGTCGTTATTGGAGAGGAAGCCTCTGTAAATAAGTGGCAGAAAAACACGGGAGGGGACGGAGGCATGGCCGCCGGTGGAGGCTGAGCTACGACTCTTTTATTACTTCTTCTCTGCAGTTTCCCCCCCGAGCACAGAGCTGTCCTCCATCAGTCCTGAGGCTGAGGCCTGGAGGATTGATCGCTGCTCCTCTCTCTGCTCGGAGAGTTTTATCTCCTCCCAGCTCCCTCTCAGGGGAGAAACTTCATTAGAGGTAAATATCTTCAAAGCTGCTGCGACCACCAGCCTCCAACCTGTTGCCTGCAGGAGATCAATGAAGACTCTCTGGCATGGTTTAGAGGAGGAGGAGGAGGAGGAGGAGGAGGAGGAACCTAGAGTAGCCGACATGTGCAAACTCATCACAAAGCAAACGCTGGAAGTGTGCGATACTCTTTAGTGTCCCCTGGTCTCCCAGCTGTGTGCGTCACTTTTTAGTGTCCCCTGGTCTCCTAGCTGTGTGCGTCATTTTTTAGTGTCCCCTGGTCTCCCAGCTGTGTGCGTCACTTTTTAGTGTCCCCTGGTCTCCTAGCTGTGTGCGTCATTTTTTAGTGTCCCCTGGTCTCCCAGCTGTGTGCGTCACTTTTTTGTGTCCCCTGGTCTCCCAGCTGTGTGCGTCACTCTTTAGTGTCCCCTGGTCTCCTAGCTGTGTGCGTCATTTTTTAGTGTCCCCTGGTCTCCCAGCTGTGTGCGTCACTCTTTAGTGTCCCCTGGTCTCCCAGCTGTGTGCGTCACTCTTTAGTGTCTCCTGGTCTCCCAGCTGTGTGCGTCACTTTTTAGTGTCCCCTGGTCTCCCAGCTGTGTGCGTCACTTTTTTTGTCCCCTGGTCTCCCAGCTGTGTGCGTCACTTTTTAGTGTCCCCTGGTCTCCCATCTGTGAGCGTCACTTTTTAGTGTCCCCTGGTCTCCCATCTGTGTGCGTCACTCTTTAGTGTCCCCTGGTCTCCCAGCTGTGTGCGTCACTCTTTAGTGTCCCCTGGTCTCCCAGCTGTGTGCGTCACTTTTTAGTGTCCCCTGGTCTCCCAGCTGTGTGCGTCACTCTTTAGTGTCCCCTGGTCTCCCAGCTGTATGCGTCACTCTTTAGTGTCCCCTGGTCTCCCAGCTGTGTGCGTCACTCTTTGTTGTCCCCTGGTCTCCCAGCTGTGCGCGTCACTTTTTAGTGTCCCCTGGTCTCCCATCTGTGAGCGTCACTTTTTAGTGTCCCCTGGTCTCCCAGTTGTGTGCGTCACTTTTTAGTGTCCCCTGGTCTCCCAGCTGTGTGCGTCACTCTTTAGTGTCCCCTGGTCTCCCAGCTGTATGCGTCACTCTTTAGTGTCCCCTGGTCTCCCAGCTGTGTGCGTCACTCTTTGTTGTCCCCTGGTCTCCCAGCTGTGCGCGTGACTTTTTAGTGTCCCCTGGTCTCCCATCTGTGAGCGTCACTTTTTAGTGTCCCCTGGTCTCCCAGTTGTGTGCGTCACTTTTTAGTGTCCCCTGGTCTCCCAGCTGTGTGTGCGTCACTCTTTAGTGTCCCCTGGTCTCCCAGCTGTGTGCGTCACTCTTTAGTGTCCCCTGGTCTCCGTTGTGTTTTGAGCTTCTTGCAGCGTTTGGTTTCTGCAGCTTTTAGTAAACGCTGCGCATGTGTCCTCAAGTTGCTGAATGTTTTCTAAAAGCTGCATGTGTTGTCAAGTTGCTGGAGATGTTTCTTCATGTGTTTTGGCACACATTTTATATCTGCATGGTTTCTGAAGGTGCAGCACGTTTCTACTTATGGAAATGCTGTTCCCTTTAGCATGTGATGCATTGAATCTAACATCTAATTTGCATACGTGTGCATGACTTTAGGCGGCAACTAACAATTATTTGATTTATTGATTAAGTATTACTGATATAACTGTTTTTTTCTCTTACACAATTCCCTATATAGCTCAAATCTGGCGTATATATCATCTCTTTTTGAGATTAATGTATTTTATGATCCCTGGTCCATGTTCAATTAGGACATAAATATAATAATAAATGTCACATGGCCTGCACACTCTGCAAAAGCTTCCACTGTTTTTTTTTAGCTTCACACTTTACAGTCTACACTAGAGCATGAAAAGAGTGGAAAAGATAAGCCTTTTTATAAATAGCAGCAGGAACGGATAGGACTCCTGACACACTTTCACACAGTTTACTTCTCTGAACTCTCTCTCCCTGTGAGCCACAGAAGTCACTGAACTGCTAAAAGAAAAAAGAGAAAAAAAAATGTTTTCATCAGTAATTGATAGTTAATTTAATAAGCTGAGCTGCTTTACACTCACCACCCACTTCTTTTGTTACACCTTGCGAGTACCAGGTTGTAAGTAGTGGTTATTTGACTAACTATTGCCTTTCTAAAATCTTAGTAGATCAGCAGTTTCTGAAACATTCAGACCGGCATGTCGGGCACCAGCATGCAACGTTCAAAATCACTTAAATCCACTTTCTTTCCTCTTACTGATGCTCTGTTTGAACTTCACCAGGTCGTCTTCACCATGTGACTAAATGCATTGAGTTGCTGCCATGTGATTGGCTGATTGTATATTTGCGTCAACGAGCAGAGGAACAGGTGTACCTGATAGTAAAGTAGCCAGTGAGTGTATTGTGTTTGTTTGACTGTGAACCCCATGAAGAAAGGCTAAAGTCTCGGCTAATGCTAACAGGGTTACTCATAAAAACACAATGACATATTTTATATTAACAGAAAGGGCATTGTGTTTTCTCATAATCATTTATACGAGTTACTGCATCCTCCATTAACTTCCTAGCAGAATGCTGCAAATACAGTCATGATTTTACACTGTTTTCCAATCCAAATCTTTCTATTTTCAACCAAAGAAATCCAGTGTATTGCCAAAAAAACAGGAGAACATGGAGTCCTTGGGGCCGTGTGCAGAGAGCAGCTCCCCACTGCTCAGCATTGATGAAGTGAACGAGGTCGGCAGATAGAAAATAATTGGAAACTTGGCCTCATCCGTCTCCTCTCGGCAGCGCAGGATACAGTCCGGGTGTTTTAAGGCGGTAACACTGTGAACCCTCTGGCTGAATACATTCCCAGCATGCATTGCTGCAGCCCACACACAAACACTCGCAGGTCTCTGGACTGAGGGAGAAGATGGACTGTGGAGAAGTGTGTAGGAGAAATGTGAGGAGGTCACATGGTCAGAGGTCATGTGGAGGCTACTCTCTGGTACTTTGTTATTCCTACACTAAGTCTGTTCTCCTGCTGCTGCTGCTCTGCTCACACTGACTTTACATTTTAAGTTTGGCTCCGATCCGTCCACTTATACGGCGTAAAAAGGACGTTTTAATTAACAAAAATAATAATTAAAGACTGATGGTATGCCTCAGCCAAAATACTGTATATGTTGCATTATACAGGGTTAACACCTGAACATCAGCTGGAGAGGACTCTTTAAAGTAGAGACACTACATACTGATTACACCTGAACATCAGCAGGAGAGGACTCTTTAAAGTAGAGGACACTACATACTGATATACACCTGAACATCAGCAGGAGAGGACTCTTTAAAGTAGAGACACTACATACTGATATACACCTGAACATCAGCAGGAGAGGACTCTTTAAAGTAGAGACACTACATACTGGTATACACCTGAACATCAGCAGGAGAGGACTCTTTAAAGTAGAGACACTACATACTGATATACACCTGAACATCAGCAGGAGAGGACTCTTTAAAGTAGAGACACTACATACTGATATACACCTGAACATCAGCAGGAGAGGACTCTTTAAAGTAGAGACCCTACACACTGCTCCTTAAAGATAGAACAAGCCAGCGTTTTAAATATTCCTCAGAGATAAGCGGTAGTGAAACATCTGCAGCATGTTTTGTGATGAGGGTGTGTCTCATTTCAAACATCCTCTGTGAGCACGTGTTACCAAGAGGCCTCTTTTCTTTCAAACACAGAGGAGAGGAACC